CTTGTGGATGTGTGGTGTTGGCGGTGTGATGGGGGCGATGGAGGGAGTTCCCTTCTTACACGGTTTCTGTTCCCTCTTTGAAGGAGAAGGTGTGTCATCCCCTGGGAAAGGGGTTTGCTCTGAGGGCGGTGACTTAAGAGTGGGGAAGTTTAAAATTTCCCACGTGGGGGTAGAGTCAAGGGAAAACCCAGCGGTGTTGTTGAGCCTGTTTGAGAATCCAGTCAAGTTTGGGTACCATGGGCTTCTACCCCAAATGCTCTTAGCAGAGACGCCATTGGCCATTCAGAGTGGAGCCAGGGACCAGGGCTGTGGTAGACCAGGTGTCGTCTTTGGCTTTTCTCTTTCTGTTTAGTGGCTCTGCCAAAGGACAACCAAGGTCTCTCTATTCACTACTAGAGGAGCGTTCTGAGTCAACCACTTCTCCCCATCTTCCTGACCTCCCAGGGACCCAGCTTCTAGCTTTAGTCCATTGCATGCTCATCACAGCCTCCCACTGAGTTCCGCCCATTATCAGTAAGGCTTGGAGGAGGCGTGGAGGGGGGAGCCGTGTTTGGTAGGTGGCCAAGAGTCATTGCCCCTACCTTGTACTCTTGTCAAGGAGCCTCATGCTAGGATCTCCCTTCTGTAAAATATGCTTTGATTTTAGAATGGTTTAGACTTACAGAAAAACTACATAGATTGTACGGAGAATTCTTGTGTACCCTGTACCTGGTTTCCCCTACTATTAGGATCTGACATTAATTAGTATGGTATACTTGACACAGTGAATGAATCAATATTGATGCATTTTTATTATTAACTCGAGTTCATTCTTTATTCTAATTTCCTTTGTGTTTTCCTAATGTTTTTGTTTGTTTGTTTCAGGATCCCATGTAGTATTACATACTACATTTAATTGTCATGTCCCCTGAGGTTTTTCTTGGCTCTGAAGTAACTCAGACTTTATGACTTTGATAGTTTGGGGAGTTCTTGTTGGTAGTTAGTAGAATGTCTCTTGATTGGGATTTGTCTGGTGGTTTTCTCATGATGAGACCAGAGTTAGGGATTTTGGGGAGAAGGACCACAGAGGAAAGTTCCGTAAAATATCAGATGCCTTTTGTTACAAATGGCAAGGCAGACCCTTTTCAAGATCGTCCTGATCGGTGTAGGGTCCACTGCACTGGGATTTTGCAATGGGAAAAGAGAGATTGGGTTCAAATTCAAGCACAACAAGGCAAAGCGGGGACTTACAGCCAAGGAGCAGGGTGAAAGTCGGTGGAGAAAAAATTTAGAGGAAGCATCAGGAGTGTGAGAGATTGGAGCTAAACCAATCGGACAGGGGCTGTTGCCTAACACAGACCATGGTGACCGGTCGTCACCTGGGGACGGTGGGGACAGAGGAGTTTGATTCGGTATTAAACGTGGGGTTTTTTTTTTTTTGCTAAAACTATCAATAGATATTACAAGGAGATGCACAGATGGGCCTAGGAAAAGGTTCAGGAGCCTGACTAAAGTTTGGTCAAACAAAAACTGTTAGTCAGTACATGCTGTCAGTGTGACTTGTCACTGTTGGTGTTGACCTTGATCACCCGGCTGAGGCTGTGTCTGTCAGGTTTCTCTGTTGAGAGGTTCTCACCCCTCCCTCCCTTTCCCATTCTGCTCTCTGGAAAGAATCCACCAGTGAGGGAGCGTGTCATTGTGCGCTCCCTCCTCCAGGTGGGGTCCCTGCATCAGTTATAGGAGTTTTTCTGCCTGGAAAGTTTTTCTGCCTGGAAATTTGTCTGTTGTATCAAGCAGTTTTTGTACAACACATCACCTCTGTAATTTTCACAGTTGTGAGGTTGATGTTATCTCCCATTTTCCAGAACAGGGACTGGGTGAAGTTGACGCACCTCCCCAGGGCCACCCAGATTTGAAGTGACAGACTAGGGACTTGAACTTGGGTGTTCTCAGCTAACTCCCTCTGTCTGCACTGTTGTGTACTCACCCACTGAAGCTTTTCACATGGACTTATTTCTTGGATCACTTGTGTCTTGCTTTTTGGCAGGGTAAGGGCGATGGGGGCAAGTGTTCTCGGGGTCTGTAGGTGAAGCCCACCTTTTAAAAGGGCTTCCTCTGAGGACTTTAGGAAATCCTGTTCTGTAAGGCCGAAGTTGGACTGGGCTCAGACTAAATGTCAGTATGGTACAAGGTTGGGTTTTGTTATGCAAGGAAGGCTGTGTTCTATCTATTTGTCTGTCTACTTTCCTTTCTTACGAAAGAAGAGGAAAGCTCCCTTTGGTTAATTATCATGGTTTTTAAGAAGAAAGGTTAATAATATCAACACATTCTTGAAAGCATCAGGTCTACCCTGATTTCTTTGAATGAGGTCATCTGTGTGGTAGGAGGTACTGTTCTGCTATTCTGGGAAAGAGAGGGGATTTCATGGGTGGTTGAAAGTTCACACCTGTGGTCAGCATAAGTTGGCCATGTGTTGGCTTTTCTGAGCACAACATAATACTGAGAACAGACCTGTATAATGGGCTATTTGCTTTGTGAATTTTCAATTTTTCCTCTCCTCGCTTGTTCAAAGTGTTTAGAATATATCAGTGCAGAAGACATCCTGCTGAAAACTGCAACAGATACACCCTTTCCCGTCTTCAAAGAAATGGCTTTAAACCAATTGCAGTTCGTCTCGCTACGACGAACTGGCTAAATGTAACTGACAGGTGCCACAGAGCGTGTAACTGGATGGCCAACCTAACTGAGACTGAAGGACCCCACCCCCCCGCCCCGTTCCAGTTTATAGCAATTCAGTTGGTTTGGGCACCTGACTCTGAGCATCACCCCTCCCCTGTAACTGATGCTGGAGGGCCAGTGGCTGAAATGAGTCAAAAGCGTCAGATGCTGGTGGGGACCTGGGAGTCACAGAGCTGGAGGGTGGCACACATCTGTTCCTGGCTTGCTAACCCACAATGCAGTTGTATTAGTGTTTCCCTCCCAGAAAAGCTGTATGTTTCATCTTTTAATTTTTGCATTGAGTTCAGAAAATGGGCTGAGTTCAACAATAAGCAGACAGCAATGTTTCTAGAAGAGTCTGCACTATAATTTTTGTTGCTTTGTTGTTTTTAACTTGGAAGTTGATGAGGATTTGATACAGTTTGGGCAGCAGCCTCAAGGAAGAAAACTGGGTCCCAGCCTCTGTCCGAGGTGGTGGCGGGTGGTGGTGTAGGATGGGAGAGCAGCACCTGTGTGCTGCTGTGGCTGAGACAATGTTGAGTAGCGCGGGGTGTGGCCTTCTCGCCTGCAGGGCAGTTGGGGGAGCCCGTGTCCCCAGGCTGCCCATCCCTGGGAGGAGGCCTTCCCTCCTGCCACGTCCCAGATCTCACCCAGTGCCCTTTCCTAAGTCAGCTGGGGAGGAGTTTCACGGGTCCTGGCTTGGCCCTGGTGCAGAGGCTTCCCTGGAAGGCAGGAGTGGTGCCCCATTAAGGATGGAGATGCGCCAAAATGCCCACGAACCCGCTTACTGGCAATCTGACTGTGGCAGTTCCAAAGGCATGTGAGTGTGGTGGGGACAAGCGGGGGTATTTGGGGAGCTGGACCCTCCTCAGTGTGTACGAATGCAGACTGGGCACCAGCAAGGCCCCCCAGGCCCAGGAGAGGGTTTCTGCTTTCTGCCCATACTCCCCAGAGTATGTGGGCCATCACCAGCAGGGCCAGAATGGAGATGGCAGCTGCAAGGGGGTCTGGGGGGTGGGGGGCAGGGTGCAGGGTGAAGGCGAGGAGCAGAGGAAGCCGTGTTCCACCTGGGTGTGGTGGGTCCTGAAACAATGCAGGCTGAGCCTTTAGGACAGTGCTTCCCAATGGGGCAAATTTGCTTCCACAGGGGCATTTGGCAATGTCTGCAAACATTTTTGGTTGTCACACCCCAGAGGGGAGGAGGTTGTCACACCCCAGAGGTGGAGACAAGGGGCCTACTGTGCGCAGACAACCCTGCCACTGAGGATAATCCAGCCCCGAGTATCACTAGTGCCAGGCCGGTGCTCTGCTTGAGGACACAGAAGTAGGGGTCGGTGGCGTTTTGTTTCACACACTGGCGTCAGAAGTATGGCTGGTGGGCATTAGGCTCCATGGACATTTGACCTAAAGCCTGTCTTTGTGGCACAGGTGGCACCATTTGCGGGATGCTCCCACTGCCTTTCGGTTTTCTGGGAGGGCCGGGGGTGGAGGCTGGAGAACCCTGGGAATACTGCTTTTTATATGATACTCTCCTTTTTCACCCCAGTTAAGGAGGGTAAGAACAGCAGAAAACCAGGTTTCTTTTGGAAGAGGAAGATGATAAAGGAGAGAAATCTATATTCTCAAATGAGTATTTTTACCTGCTGAGGTTTCTGGCTAAGGATCTTGGTAGCAACGTGGCCTGTGTTACCATGTGTGTATGTATGTTTCTGTGTGTCTCTGTGTGTGCTTGCACGCATGTGTGTGCAAAGAGAGACAGAGGCAGACACTTTTGAGCAGTGACAGAGGGTGGCAGTGTGCACTGGCGTATCCTCTTGCTGTGATGATGACTTCCTCCCGCCTGGAGCCCGGGAGCCCTGGGAAATGGCCCAGAGGCTTGTTTTCGGTCTTGCGTCTGTGCACTGGTGTCTCCTGCTGGGAGCTGACAGCATCCAGGACCTTCCCCTGACCAGCCGTGTCTGCTGAGGCTGGCTCAGCACTTCCACAGGCCACCCCCAGCATCTGGCTGCTCACGTCCCCTCCTTAACAGCGTGACAGGACAGCTGAGCTCCCAGGTGGGTGGGCAAAGGGAACAAGAAAGAACTCACAGAGACAGCACCGCTGTGGTCAGGGTGGCATCCAGTGTTGTCCCGTTTCCTGGACTCTGAGAATTCTTTCTCGTGGTCTCAGTGGCAAACTCACATCTTGCAGACGGGCTGGCCCAGGAGGTCAACGCCACTGTGTCTCCCTCCCTCTAGGAAGACCTCCCTGGAAAGAGCACTCTGTGGAGTGTGGTCTGTTCACATGTGCAAATCTTTTTGCAGGGCACGCCACCATCACCAACTACTTGTTGAACTACTTCCCTGGTCTTGACCTTGAAAAGAGGAACGCATTTGGGTTCACAGCCCTGATGAAAGCTGCCATGCAGGGCCGGACGGAGTGCATCCGAGCCCTGATGCTAGCAGGTATGTCTGCCCCATCCTGTGCGGTCCTGGGGACCTGGGGAAGGTGGATTTTGCTTCCTTGAGGAGTATGTGTTGAAGGGATGAATCAGTCTTGTGGAAACTAAGACTAGAGGTTGCAACAAAGAACAGTTTCTTTGAAGTATGTGGCTGTCATCATTCGAGGTGAAACAAACAATGCAGGCAGCCAACTTCAGGGTGGAGTCGAAGGTCATGGCACTGGTTGCCCCTCGTTGCTCCCCGATGAGCTCTTCCCTCGCCCCTTAGCCTAGTCCTGCCCATGTTCTTTTTCTGGAATGTGTGTTCTGGTCTTGGCTCTGAGCTGCTCATCTGTCCTGTTGACGGTGGGCACAGGGACGGCAGCGTCAGCCAAGTTGTCATCCTATAAGTCCCCGCCTGCTGTGGGCGGAGTCATGTGATGTGTGTGGCAGCTTCCTTTTCTATGATGTGTCACAGAATGAAAAGGTCTGTCTGTAGCCTTGGATCAACCCCTTGCCCTTTATGACATCATCGTCTTGGAGGAAGCACTTCTGTCTCTGAGTCCCCATCTCTGTCTTTGAAATGGGGGGGGTGGCTTTTTTCACCCCCCTGAGGATGAGGTATGACAGTACTTTGTAAATTCTCAAGAGCTACACAGATTTCATGAACTGCTGTGCTAAATTCCATGTGACTAATCTCTAGCTCTTTCCCTGACTAAAATGGAGTCTTGATCAAAATAACCTCACTGGGTTATTTTGAGAATTAAATAAGAAAATGTGTGTAAAGTATGAACCCAGGATCCAGCACAGGGTGAGCCTCTAACATCTCAATCACTGCGAGGTGCTGCTGTCGACATTATTTAATTTCATTATTTTAACTTCCTGTTTTGTTCTTACTTTGTTTTGGCCCTGGGTTCAGACAACCCCGAGTGGTGCCATGAGTTCCCAGAGAGGTGGCGTCTCCCCTCCCATTGTAGTGTCCTGAGGACAGTGACAAAGTCCTCCCAGTCATCACCCCAGGCTAGTAGCACTGATTAGACAACATTTATTTTGGAACCATTTCAGATGTATGCTAAAGTGACCAAGATAGGACAGAGAGTCCCCACACAGCGCTCCCTTGTCGCCCCTGTTAACATCTTACTGACATGGGTGCATTTTTATTCAGTAAACTCCAGACTTTATCAGCTTTTACCAGTCTTCTATTGACTGTCTCAGGGCCCACCCAGGCCTCCCACACTTAGTTGTCCTGTCCCCAGTCTCCTGGGGTCCGAGACAGTTTCCCAGTCTCACCTCCTTGTCTGTGACTCGACCGTCTCCATGCTGGCTGCCACAGTGTCCTCCAGGCTACGCCTGCCTCTTGCTTCCTTGTGACAAGATGGGTTAGACGATTCACAACTTGCTTTAGTTTTTTTTTCTTTTCCTCCTGCTCTAACCTGAGTGTTTCAGGGGACGCTGTAAGGAAAATAAATTCAGTGAATGAAGACAGAGGCTTCGAAGATGAAAACTTTCTTGGAAATAAAAAAGATCATACTTAAAATTAATCCCACTGACTATGCTTTGGATTCACTGACAGTTTCAGAAGTGAGACATTGGTTTCAACAGTTTACACTTTGCCTGCTCTGTGTTGGGGGGAGATGCTAGTCCCGATTAAACGGTGGCTGCCATGTGTTGGGAGGAAGCTTCATCTGCTTTTACTCTGGATCTAGTTACAGCTGAGTGTAGATCCTTAGTAACTTACTCTTTCAACCAAAAACGCACGGTGTTGGTCACATCTGTGCGGTTCCCCCAGTGAATTAATTTGAACCACAAACCCTTTTGTCTTACGTTGATTGTCTTCTAGTCACTCTGGCAAAGGCCCAGGTTCTGCTGCTTTTCCACTTTCCTCCGGGTCTGGTGGAGGTCGCAGGCACTGGCTATGCATTCACAGGATTCCAGAAACACCTTTTTGGTCTCTCGAGAGGTGGGTCTGCCTACAGGCAGCGTGTTCTTGCTAAATTTTTTTTTTTTTTTTTTTTTTTGCCTACACAGCTATTTGGATAACAAACTGGGCATTAACATGCTCTCTTTTTCCTGTCTCCTCCACTGTGAGCCCAGTCCCATTAAAGTCTAGACTCTGCCTGAGTACAGGCCTTGACTGTGTTCATCCCCGAACCGTATGTTCTGAGCCTCAGTTTCCCCTTCTGTAAAATGGGGCAAATGACAGGGGCTACTGCAGGAAGATGTGATGGGGACTGAATGGGTCCACATGTGGAAAGCCCTTGGACTTGGACTTGGAATGAAGGAAGCCTTCAGTCAGCTTTGGTTATTATTGTTGTTGTTCTTGTTTTTGGTGAATTTTTGTGTTCAATAATTTCTGTTAAAATGAATGAAAAAATATGGTCTATTTTTCCCTTTGAAAAATATCCTTGTGCTGCTATACTTGAGACTTCTTTTTTGAGGGCAACAAGCATTAACTGAGGCTTTCTCCATCTTGGCACTGTTGGCCTTTGGGCCCATGTAATTCTCTCTGGTTGGGGCTGTCCTGGGAATAGATGGGTGCACAGCAGCATCCCTGGCCTCTGACAGCAGGTGACTACAGCATCCTCCAGGTTTGGCGACCAAAATCGTCTCCAGACTTGGTTGGACGTCCCTGGGGGGTATAGTTGATCCCTAACGAGAGCCACTGATGTCACTGGTGTACCTGTGAAAAGAGGGAAAACATGGAAAGAGAATTTTTCCCCTCTTGTACACTTTTCTTTCTTCTTTTCAACTTGCCCTATATTCCTTCTTAAAATAAAAACCTGACGTCTTTTTCAGGGAGCTTTTGCCCCACCCTCTAAGGCTTTGGTTATAGAGTCTAAACTTCTAGAATGATTTCATTTTCTACTGTTACTACTATGTTAGTTTATGGTTCTTTCTCCCAGGAAAGCGAGTTTCATTTTCCTTTGATAGTAGACGTGTATGTGTTTTAAAAGGAAAAAAATGTGCTTGAATGTCTTCCCAGGGTTTGGTGGGCAACAGTCAGACACTTGTGAAGATATTTTTAAAAACTTGCACAAGTATTTTTGTCTTATCCATATTAAGAAAAGTTAAAGCTTTTAAAGGTACGGATACCTGAGTATTTCTTCTGGATTGGCATTTCTGTGCAGCTGTGAAAGGGACCTTGGGGGCCAGCACAGGATGGTGACCGGGTGGTTACTTCAAAAGCAAAAGGTGTTTGTTAACATTACCACATATTAATGGTCGGGGTACGAGTGTGTCTCTCCTTCTCATTTTGTCCAGTGCAGAATTCTTCTGTAACCGAGTGTGTTTCTGCTCCTGAGTTTGAATTCCAAGCTGCAGTTTCATTGTATTCAATAAGAACCATTTCGTTTAAGAAGTGGTGAGTCATTGAACTGGATGCTCCCCTAAACTGTTTGCCTTCTCCAATAGTCGAGAACCTACAGGCACATAACAGCTCTTATTTTACCTTGTCAGGCAGAACAAAATAATGTCAGAATTATCAGGACTTTGGATTTTACTAAAAATATAACCGGGTTCTGAAAAGCTGGTTTATTGGCTCTTTGGCTTTTGGCTTCCCAAGGAATCCTGTCGGCTCTGCTGATGAGAATCACAAGGAAGGCTGTGGGACCTTGTTAATTCGATGGAATGAATATTAATGCCCCAAAGTGACAGGTCTATTTAAATAAGTGGCTCTGGGCGGATGCAGTAGGTCGTCTCTGAAGGCAGACGGAACTCGGTGGAGGCTGGCAGGTTCCAGGCTTGTTTGAGAGAGTGGCTCGCCACCCCCCGCCCCCCGGGGGGCGGTATAATTGCTGCAGCACCTGGGAAGCAAAACCAAGCAAACAAAAAACTGCAAAGTCATTTGTGGTTCCGTGGAAAAAAGCAGCAGGTGTGGGACGCTTGTTTGCTGAGGAACTGGGAGCACCACGAATGGCATTGACCGGGTGGCCATTCTGTCCTGGGCTAGCCCTGACTGTGGGCTCCTGGAAAGCCAAAGGGTATGATGCCACCCAAAGGTCTCTCTCTGTTTATAAGAAAAACATGAATTTCCTATGAATGAAGAATTTGCCCAGCTGGAATAGTTTTAAGTTGTTAAGCAGAACAAGGTCTAAAAACTAGGCATTCTGTATCATGTAGGACCGTGTGTTAGCTTGGGTACCCATGAAAGCAAATCCCGGGCAAGGACTTGAGGGCAAGCAGTTCTTCTGGAAGGTGACCTTGGAAAGTGGTGCGAAGGATAGGGGAGTGAGACCAGGATGACAGGAAAGCCAATAAATCGTGCTGATGAGCTGGTGACCCCTGTGGGCAGCCAGCAGTCAGCCTTTCCTGGAACCTGGAAAAGACCACTACAGGACATCTCAGGAATGACTTGTGGGGGTCCACCGGGCAGCTGGGGTCTTTGTCCTCCAACTCGGGTCCTTTGGGGCTGGGGACTCCTGGGCACGTGTGGCAGTTCCCCTCTGTGCAGTGGGCTGGAGTGTAGATGGCCTGATGCCCATCTGGGGTAACCCTGCGACCCTGTGTCCTGACTTGTCATACCTACTATATCCCAAGTACCCAAGATACAGGCCAGAGGTGTCACAGGGAGAGGCTTTCAGAGACTGGTCCACAGTGATCCCATGTGACTGGAAAGGCTTCTGTGCGGGAGGGAGACACAACCGGGCTTGGGAGGACAGATAATGCGGGATGGTTGCTGGTGGAGAAACTGGGAAGGAAGTGATGCGTCTCAGTCTCTGCTTGTCTCTAGCTGTTTCCATGGATCTGGCCAAGACTCTCTGGGAGAAGCAGCCTGAGAACGAGTGGGGGGGGGTAGCTTGTTTTCCTTTAGGACCTGTTTAAAGTGCTTTCTGCTGTGAGGAACAGCAGTCTGATGCTCCGGCCCGCGGAGCAATCAACTGGGGCTCGACCACCTACCTAGAACAAATGAGTTGGGGGGACAAGAGGCGTGAAGAATGGCAGCAAGACAAAAGATTCTGATCAAGCTGCAAACTTTATTTTTCCAAACTGGGTATATATATGGGGGGGGAGGGAGAGGAAGGAGATTAGGTTGCTTGCTATTGGCTAGCTCGAGACAAAGAAGGGCCCACTTATTGATTACTTGGGTGCAACTGGTACTCGTGGACACCTCATGTGCCTGTAGCCGATTGGCTTGTGGAGCGCACAGGTTCCTGTAATCAATGCAATGTTTTTAGCTAGAAGCCAGATGTAAGGTTCCCAACAGTCTGACTTGATGGTGCTTTAAGGAAGATAGGCATGTGTTTTTCAGACCTCACTAGAAATTTTGAGGTAGGCAGTCACTATGCAGAGCTTGTCCTGGGCCATGAGGACATCATAGACCGAGGTTCCTTCCTCTTGTCCACTTCGTGCCCCACCCCACCTCAGTTTGGTTGCTGCTCACCTGGTGATTGCAAGATGGTCCTCATAGCTCCAGGCTGCAGATTCATGCTTCAGACAGGAAGCAGCAGCCCCTGTCCTATTTGTCCCTCTCAGCAGGATGCAACGGCCTTCTCTGTGGGGCTCCAGTGGGGAACAGAATTGCGTTTGGCAAGGTCTGGGACATTTTTGGTTTTCACAACTGGTGGAGTGCTGCTGGCATCTAGTGGGTAGAGACCAGAGATTCTGTTAAAGGCCCTGCAATGCACAGGACCACCCTCACAACAAAACCATGTGCCCGGAAATGTCAGTTGATAATGCCAAGGTTGTGAAACCCTGGGCTAGACCGTTCATGGTGCATTGCCTAGAACTGAGTACATAGCTCCCTTGAATATAATACAGGATTTTGTGTAGACGACTTGCGGCACTCAGCACAGCAGCAAATGGACCCACTGGCAGGAGCCCAACTCTCGTCCGTACGGCTGACGCCCTTGGTGAAACAGTGTTGGGTCGGAGGGGAGGAGGCCGTGTGATAGTCTCACAGGGAGAAGACGGATGCAGTAGTGTTTTGGAAGTTTTCCATAGTCTCTAAAAGCTATACAGGGTGGGGCAAAAATAGGTTTACATTTGTGTGTATGGAAAAATAATACGATAATTAATAAATAATAACACAAGAATAAACTGTGTTTTGCATACTCACAACTGTAAACCTGCTTTTGCCCCATCCTGTACGGACAGCATTAATCATCAGTACTTGTCTCTCACGACTTGATCACTACAATCAGGCCGTTAGTATTACCCTTCCTACTTGTTTCTTAAGGAAGTGAATCCCTGACTTATTACATGAATAAGGTTCCTGGGCTGTGTTACAGTTCGAATGGCCTTTGTTCTTTAGAATGTTTATGATTTCCAAGATCATCTTGGAAAGGGGCAGGAGGAACAGGAAGAGGTGTGATCAGCTCGGGACAGCTGCTCCTTCAGTTCTCCATTAGCATTTGAAAAATGTCTCTTTCAAGCAGTGTTCATTAAGATTTTAATTTTGCAGTTTGTTCCTTTTTTAAGTGACATGCAATTAATTAAAGTTTAATGTGTCATCTATTTTTTGCAATGACATTTTTACTGCCCCCTTTCATTTCAGTCCGTTTATAAATTGTACTCTAGCTAATGAGTTCCATCCTGATTTCCAGTTCTAAATAATTACCACTCTTCTAATACGGCCATTCCTTAATGTGTCGCAGAGTTAAGGCATCACCCGGTGCAATCAGGTGAGCTGGATCTGCCTGGGGCGCGGGGCCACTAGGGGGTGCCGGGGTCCCCTGCTGTTCTCAGTTCAGCACCTACCGAGCAGTCCCCACAGGGCAGACGCCTGGGTCTGCGTGGGGTAGAAGCCTCTGCCTGGCCTGGTCCCAGGGACCTCGCAGGCTGGATCATTGCCCCACTTCTCCACATTGCTGCCAGTGGAAACATGACTAATGGGGCTTGAAATCCTGAATGATTTTTAACTGTATATGGGGCTGAGATTGGACCATGATGAATTGAACAGCGACTCCTTATTAATTCTTATTTTACTACCAAGCTGAAGTTTATAAAATATTAGAAGGGGCAGTGAGTGGTATGGGGGAGATTTATTAAGGAAGTGCCCGGTGTAAGTGAGGCTATGGAGACGGAGGAGTCAGCATTCTCCAGGACAACGGAACTGATGGGGGATATATTTTAAGAGGTTTCTTTTATTAAGAGGTTTGTTTTAAGGAATTGGCTTATGTGGTTTGGAAAGCTGACAAGCTCGACGTCCATAGGCAGGCCAGGGGACTAGACACGGGTTTAGGAGCTGCCGCTGAAGTCTTGAAGCCAAAGTCCCTCTTCTCCAGAAAACTCAGCTTTTGTTTTTAAGGCCTTTAATGGATTGGACAAGGCCCGCCCACATTATTTCATGTAGTCTGCCTGACTACAAGTCAACTGCGCGTGGACATTAACCACATCTACCAACTACCCTCACAACACACCTAGATTTCTGTTTGATTAAATCCCTGAACTAGAGCATGGCCAGGCTGACTCAGAACACCGTCCCCCAGGAAGGGACCGCCCCCTGTGCGGTGGGGGAAGAGCATGGGGCGGAGGGTCAGGAGACCTGCTCTCTCACCAGCTCCGAGGCCTCAAGCTGGCCCCCCGCCCACTGCGACCACCATCTGTTCCGTAACAACCCTTTACTAAATGTATGCTGCCTACTAGCCGGGACGTTGTGTGTTGAGGAAACAAAAACAAGTGAGAGGTGCCTCCGCACCAGAGACGTGAACGGCCTCACAGTTCTGTGACAATGACCACAGCCACCCTCACAGGGTCTGGGAGGGAAAGGCGAGGTGGTAAATGAATGCCGGTGACTGTGACTGTTAGACGTTTCAGAACCTTCTAGCAGCATCCGCCCCATGTTCACACAGCACCTTTGTTGTCGTCATCTCGCCATTGATGGAAAGCCATGAAATCTCATTTTTAAAAAAATTCCAAGACCGAGGTGCTGACTTCAGGTAGTTTCATTTAGGAAAGACAAGCCATTAAATGGTGCACGTAATGGTGCCCTTGTATTATAATGGTAAATGCAGCAGGTACCGGTCAGAGGCAGGTTCATCCACCTGGCTAGAGTAGATTCTGTTATTTGGAAGTTTGACCTTTGTTTTCATTCCAGTGATTTTTTTCTTGTCTGTGGAAGGGAAAAGCCCTTGTTGCCTCCACTCATAACAGTTTGTGTTTTGTGTTTTTCAGGGGCAGATGTCCACGCTAGGGACCCCCGCCGCGGGATGTCGCCGCGGGAGTGGGCCATGTACACGGGGCGGGTGGAGGCGGTGCACCTCATCCAGAGGCTGCTGGAGCGACCCTTCCCGGAGCAGTTTGGGGAAAGCTACAAACCAGAGCTGCCGCTGCCCCTCGAGGGGCCTTCGAAGTCTGCAGACTCCAAAAACTGCTTGCAGAAGTTCACCAAGTTTGTGCGGTCCACGCTGACTCCCCGCTCACGCCAGGGCCTGGAGGATGGAGGGGTCCTGGACCACATGGTCAGGATGACCACGAGTCTCTACAGTCCTGCTGTGGCCATTGCCTGCCAGACCGTGTGCCCTGAGAACCCCCCCTGTGTGGGAAAAAGGCGGCTAGCAGTGCAGGAAATCCTGGGGGCTCCTGGGGCCCTGGACACATACACCCAGGAGAGGGACAAAGCGGAGGCCACCGGGGAGCCAATCCGGACCTCCCACTCTGGGGGCGTCTCCAGAGAGGGGGCCCAGAGAGCCAGCCCCCGGTCTCTGCAGCAGCCAGGTGCCCCACGGAAGGCCAGTCTCCTGCCCCTACATCTGCCGAGGAGGAACAGCATGCGGTCGGGCATGGTCATCCCCAGGGTGCGCATCACCAAGGCGCCTGCGCCCACCTTCCAGCCCGAGCGGGTGCCCGTGAAGGGCAGCACCAAGGACAGCTCCCACCTGCAGCTCCCCAAGTGGAGGTACAAGGAGGCCAAAGAGGAAAGGAGGAAGGCGGAAGAAGCGGAGAAGCAGCGGGTGGCGGCAGCAGAGAAGGAGCGGAGGGTGGCGCCCTGGAGGAAAAGGACGTGAGGGGAGCTGGGTCTGGATGCTGTGCTACCCGGAGCCCCAAGAGGGGGCCGAGGGGGCTGAGGGGGCCGTGGGGAGGCTGCGTGGCTCAGCACCAGCAAGGGTGCACCTCCCGCCCACCCTCGCTGCTCAGGGCCCTCCGGGACAGTATCCTCTGCGAGGCCAGAGAGCTGTCCGTTTGTTCAGGCTGCATCCGAGAGTGAGGTGGGCATAGCAAAAATCGCTTTGCCTAAAACCAGTTCCCCTAGCAATCAGTACACCTAGTGGGCAGTTTGCCTAAGAGTCTACATTTAGAACCTCAAGAAAAAAATTTTAAAAGCAATTTATCAAAGGGCATTTTCTGTATAATTTTGTATTTTAAATCGTGATAAAATTTGCAACATTTTACCGATGGTGGGACTGTTCGTATTTAAGACAGTTTTAATGCATTTTTCTGAAGAGCGTTTGTTTAAAATACTGTTTCTAGCAATAATCATTTGTGATATCACTATGATTTCATACAGAACTTGTGGTGTTCTCCCCCATTTTGCTCTTTGTTTTCGACCTTGCCTTTTCTGTTCATTCTGGGTGCACATAGCCCTGTCAGTTCTTGTTAATTTCATTACGTGACACCAAATATTTGTTGGTGGAGGCATTTTTACAGCAAAATGATCTAGTGAGACAGGAATCAGATTGCCTTGTATCTTATTTTTCGAGCTCTTATTTATACACTAATAATAATGAAGAAAAACCTATTGCCAAAGCATGAAATGGTGCATAGAGAAACGTATTTATTGCTAGAACTAAGCTCATTTTAAGCAAGGGATTTTAGATAAGCTGGATACTAAATCTTTACCATATTCAAAAACAGATAAAAGAGGAAAACCTTCTTAACAAAACAGGGGCAAATCTAATAAATTATTACTAGAAATACAAAATCAAGTCATGTGCTCTTTGATAAATTGAATTCAGATGTTCTTAAAATATGAAACAATGCAAAAAGAAGAAGGGACCCAGAGTGAAAACTACTGAGTTGGGGGGCAGTACCTTCTAGAGGAACAGGGATGAGAGCTGACTCTGAGCAGACTTGATTTAGGCGAACTCTCCTTGAGTGGGCTGGGTGGCTCGCCACTCCAGACGCAGTTCCAAAGATTTCCCGGTGCGAACTTTCCTTTTTCCTTTGGTAACTGTCCCGAGGCTCAGTTATTCCTCACGCTGACTTTGTAGGGTTTCCAGGCTGTGGGGACTTGGGCAGAGCACGGATAGGATTTGCCCCCGGCCCCAAGCTCTCGGTGGGAGCTTCCTGTCCACACTTTTTTTTTTCCCCTAAATCTATAAAGCACTGAAAAATTCTACTGGCCATGTAGGTTGTAGAGAATGTCACATATGCACTACTGACAGCACTTTATTTAAATAGTATCCTGCTGAGAAGCTCTAGATTTAAAGTATTACTGGTGGATTTAGAAGGCCTTTATAATATTCCTGGATTCGCAGGTCAAACTGTGCTCCCTGCTACTTTGGGGCCAATGCCCAGCTGTCTCGTGCTGTGAGTGGGAGTGGTACTGGCCTCTCTCTGTCCCTTCCCAATCAGCACCATCAGGCAATGAGCCATCAGGGATCTCATACTTACCTCCCCCAAACCCTCAATATTGCACAGTGCACCTGAACTGATGGGGAATAGTTGTAGTGATAATTCAGCTTTTAAATCCAGATTGTAGTGAGTTCTCCCTCATCCCAGAAAGGCACGAGAAGAATGGCTCAGAGGTCTGGACCCCCTTAAGCATCACTGGTAGTAGTTGGCTGCAGGTGACCCTGGTGGCCAATAGTTGGATTGGCCAAGTCCCCTTGGATGAGATGAGGGCTGGTTCTCAAGGTGAAAGCATCTGCAGTCTCCCTGCTGGTCCTATCTGGCGTTTTGTTTAAGACCACTTTTTTGTGTTTATGTATTTTTGTTGCTTTGAATGGCTGGCTGCCTTGTCTCTCTCAGGGTCATTCCCTGCCCCTGCCCTCCAGCGTCAGGGGCAGGGGCGCTGATGGGCCCCCTCAGATTTTCATGTCTTTGTGGCTTTGTCACATTTTTTTTCTTTGCCACCCACTCTGCCTCCTCTTTGTTGCCTCACTTGTCTTTTCTTCCTCTGCCCATTCTCCTCAGATTTGGCTAAGTGCCTAGCTCATCCCTAGCCCCACTACTCTGAGGTCTAAATAGGCCAGAAAAGCAAGGCCGTAATGAGAGGCACATGGCGTCCCTGTTAAATAATCATGTCGTGACCTCCAAACACCCAACAGTAAATGAGGAGCAGATTCTCCAGCGTCTGTGCACTTGCTTTAGAATTTAGTCCCCACCCTGTTCTAGGCAGGGAGTCCTAGGTTTCTCTCCCGACAGATGACGACACTCCCTACCCCATGTACAGAGAGCAGAGTATGGTGTCTGCATGTACTCTGATGTTGATTAACTATAAATAGTAAATTTCAAGTTGACAGGTACCTTCTCAGGGATTTATACATAAACGTAGTTAGGAGCAAAGTTGAAGTATATTTTAATATTTTTTAGTGTTTGTGTGAATTAGAATTAAACTAGACAAAAGAAATGTCTCTGGCCTCACCAGTGCTGCTGTCACTGAGGGTGACATTCGGGGACCGCCCTCAGTTGAGGCTTCCTGGTTCTTGGACACCAGCGACCCTGGCAGCTGAAATGGCTCTGGGGTGGATGCAGAGTCACTCCAGTGCCTCTCAGTTGCCTCTTGTGGGTGGGAACCCTTGTATTTATTTTTAAAAAGTTCACCCCCTCTGGGACTAGTGGTCTTTGTGATCACACAGGTGGGCTATTCGCTGCTTATACCGCCCTCCCATCTGATACTGGAGTGTGTGGTGAAATAAATGACTGTTTTCTACTTGCTCGTGCGGATCAAGTGTGCCACGGCCAGACCAGGACCGAGCTCAGCGCCGGGAAGGAGGAGGCGAGGACTGGGAGAGCCCGTCTGGAGTGACGTGGGTGTCCTGTCTTGAGCTACGCTAGGGAAATGCAGCACGTGACAGTATGGACTTCTGCTTTTCTGACACTCCTCCCAACAGGCTGCGTGAGCCACCTCAGGAACACGAAGATGGGAAACCGCAATCATTCTGCCTAAGAGGATAGATTTCATGATGTCAGGCGGAAAATGGGACTCGTGGGAAGTCCTGTGGGAAGGGTGCAGAAGGACCCTTCCAGGCTGCCCCTGTCCACTTCCTCCTGCTGTCATGAGTGACCAGGTCTCTGGAAGTCCAGTATGAGTGGAGACAAGGCCCTTATCTGTGAAACTGAATCCCATGAGGTGGGGCCCGACCCTAGTCCTCCGGTGGATGTGAAGCCTGCTGTCCCCAGGGAAGAAGCATGGGCACCAAGTTATGAAGAAAAGCATCCCTGAGAGGTGAATAAATGAGCCAAGACTAATAAGGAGCTATGATTTGTCTCTTGCAGCCTCTGGCAGGAGCACTGTATTTCCCCCCTGTCCACACTACATGAAGAGAGAAGACCATCTTTTCATAATTTTGCTAAGTTTGCTCTGTGAAATGAGTTACAGCCCTGCTGTTAGGTGTTATTTTTTCCTCTGGGTTCACCTGGAGATTCACGCTTGCTCATTTTTCCATTCTATTACAATATGGTTGTTGCTGACAGAATTAAGATTTATTACAAACTATTGGAAGCGCCAAGTCACAACCAGTCCTTTAGGTGATAAAATGCTAGCACTTTTTCTTGTTTACAATATTGGGCAAGTGCTCGGGACCCTTTCTGTTCCGTGGCGGGGAGCTAGCTGTTCGGTGCTAGATTCTGCACCGAAACCCTCAGGGCCTGTTCCCCTGGGCCCGGACCTCGGTTTTCCCCGCAGCTGGCTTGACTTAGCCGTCACATTGGGCAGCTGCTGGGAGGGCCAGGGTCTTCTGGGGAAAGAAAGGATGACGGTGGAGCACAATCACTCCTTATTAACCAACAAAGTCACATTTGTGACAACGACTGGAGTTGGATAGAACATCATCACAGCCAAGCTGCTGCTGGCCACAAGGCTCTATCAACGAGAACGGTTCTTCCTGAAACGCACCCTGATGCACCTAGAACTTGTTTTGGGCTCCTGTGCGTGACTCTTGAGCCAGCTGCTCCCGTCTGTGCCCTTGAATTCACATTCCTTCATTAACATTTAAAACAAGTGGCTAAAGATCTACCTCTGGAGGATTTTTGAAAGAAGTAGAAAGCCTGACCACTACCTGGATTGGCTAACTGACTTTTGAGTGGCTCAGGTGAATGCCGAGCTGCAACTCCCTGGCTCTGTCCCAGTCCGAAGTAAGACTTGTGTGAAAGGCGTGGCCCCTGCAGCTTCCTGACAGCCCTCAGCGGCGAGCTGTGTCAGAGTGGACAGTGCGTGGTGAGGGGTCAGTGTGCACGCACGCACCCACACAAGACCTGAAACGAGACCTGACTTTCTGCTCACAAAGGTGACTGCTGCTGTGGCTTCACTGTGGCCCCCAGGGAATGTCAGGTGTGACCTGCTAGGGTGGTGTGTATTCAGGAGGACTGCAAGCCCAAGGCCACTGTGAGGGCTCTGGCCAATGTGACGCGACACAGCATGCCATAATGCAGGTCTCTTATTTGAGAGGTGGTGTTTGTCCAGGTGACTAATACTGGAGCTTTTTGGTGAGGTCCTCTCACCAGGTCTGGGTCTCTCTGCCCTTGAGATACATCCTTGACATGGAGAGGCCCCAGGCGGGAGAGGACTCTGCCTGGAGAGCCCTGCTAGGCATTCAGCCGTGGCCAATGGGTGGGGACCGACTGCTCTGAAGACTGGCACCAGGTTAACCATAGAAACCACCCTTAAGAAGTGCTAAGATTTCCCCAAGTCTGCCTGAGTGTTAGATACTCTAGTCAAAGGTAATAACATTGTTTGAGTTTGGGGAGACATTGTTTCATCACCACGTGACCCCTTTCTATTGTTTTTAAGGACAATGTAGAAGGGAAACCAAACTGGAACCGCCCTCCCAGGTGGAGCCTGGCAGGTGTTGACCTGCTGTTGGTCAAGTTCTGGGGAGTCACGTGGAAGCACTTTAACAGCAGGGGGAGCAGAAGTTCTGGAAGCTGGTTTGGAGCTGCACGGCTCTGTTAAGTTTGATGAAAACCATACAAGGAAGCTGTATACCCATAAATGCTCCCAGCAGCCCCTTGAAGCTTTGGAACATCCTAAGGAATTTGAATAATACACCCCATTCAAGTAAACAGGAAAAGCTAATCCCATTAAAATTCTCTTCACTCACATCATCCTGCCTGGTGTTGTCTGGTGTCCGAGGGTGTGTGTGCAGACTTCTGCTCGGGGCGCCTGGTTTCCAGGGGTGTTTGATCTTGATATAAGCTCTGTTTTCTGAGTGCAAAGTGATTTTCATTGTCATTTCTGAAAATCTGGCAGGTTTCTGGAAATTGTAAAAACATTTAGTCCAGATACAATTCTGTAAATATCGTAGTGCTTTATTTTGAAGGGAGAGTTTTTTGTTAGTTTCTAAAAGGTATTTTCCTATTTAGACCTCAGGGCTATTTTGGGGCCAACAAATCAAGGTGACCCCGATGGCTTCAGTTTTTGATATCCAAAAGCTTAATAATTTTAAGTTAAATATGATATATTATTCAGCAGAAAAAAGTCTTTTTTTAACTTCTAACGAATTCTGTACTTAATGTTTAGAAAGTATAGAGAAAAAGACATGATCATATAAACATATGGGGAAATTGTGGCCACAAAGTTAAAAATCATTTGTGAAATAAACATTCTCATGCTACAATAATGTGATATGTTATTCAAATAATATTTTATTCAGATAAGCCTAAGTATGTATAAATTAGAAAATGAAAGAATGAAAAAACCAATCTTTTTAATGTCACTTATTTTGATTCAAATAAATGTGCACTTTCTTCTGACTCAGTTTCACTTTATTTTTCAAAGGTAGCATTTTAAAAATGTTTTCCAGTTACTGATGAATACTTTCTCACACAGTATTGTAATCTTTTTGCCTCCCAGCTCTTCTCAGATGTCCACACTGGTGACAGGCAGCTTCCCGTCATGGTTCCAAGTGTTTACACACATAAGTCGAAACAAAAATGTAGTTCAGTTTTTTATGAGTATTCTTTTACCAAAATGGTATAATGCAAATGTTGTTTAGTTTATTTTCTTTACTTAAAACTTGTCTCTGGAAAGCGTTTTAAAGAATTTAAAAATTAATATTATATTTCTCTTAACAGCTAAAATAGTAATGCTCAAACACAGGATAAATCAACCAACCACTACAATAAGGTCTCAAAAGTGACTTATCCTCCCCGGACACAGACCCTGGGGCCAATTACTTGTGCATCCTCCTAGAAATACATTTTTAGTGTTTTCTTCCCTTCAGGTATCATACCAACCAGACCCTGTTGTAAGTACAGTTGCTTTCACTCGTGCTGGGGAGAGCGTGAGTTAGGCCCTTGGATCTTGCTGGTCGCTGCATGGTATCCCTCAGTAGCGGTGCACCATGGTTCATTGACCGTTGCCTCATGTTGGATTGTTACAGCATTTTTAGTTCTTACCTCTTACAAGTAATGAAGAGCCTCAAACTTTCCTATTGGTATACACAATTGACTCTTTTTCTAAGACCGGAGTGTAAAAGGGGTTTGCCAGGTAGAAGGGAAGACAGTTTAATTTCAATAGTCACTGCTCTGTCGACCTTTTCAAAGGCTGCTGAGTACTTGCCCGAAGGCCACGGACAAAAGAGGTTGTTTGGCACCTGCAGCAACATGCTGTTCATCAGACTTCCTGATGTTTGCCAATCTGAGAGTTACATAACTATCTCATTTCAATTTTTATTTTCCCAATTATTGGCAAAGTTGAGCATCTTTTCATGTGTCCTGCTATAAAAATTTCTAAGTTATATTTGTTTTTCAATTTTTCTTTTGTTTTTTGGTGTTATTTTTACCGATCTGTAGAGTTTGCTACAAATTTTGGATCATCATTCTATGACATATTGTGTTTATTTTCTCCCATCTTACCACTTCTCTTTCAGGTATCTCATATGAAAGTTTAAAATTATGATTTAGTCAAACTTGTCAAAGTATTTTTAAGAAATGTTTGCAGTTTGTGTTTTTTAAGACTTTTCCTACCCCCAAATTAGCTATTTTTCTTTTATATTTTTCTTCTGATTTATAGGAACTTTGTTTTTCTCTTTCTATCCCTAAAAATTATGTTCACACACAATTCATCACTTAAGTTTTGTTTGATGGGACTGAAAACAGAAACAGCTCCTATTACTTGGAAAATTCTACTTCTGCATCTGAAATGTCTGAGGCATTAAAAATCTTAATCCTACTTATCAAACATTATAATTACCTTTAAAGAAGGCCCTAAATAAAAAGTACAATTTTAAATAAAACTTTGTTCTAGGTCACAGTTGCTACTGGAGATTATTTGTATCTGTTGTTTGTAAAGAGCAGAGGATGTGTGTGCGTTATGGTGGAAACACTGGTAAATAGGAAGGTAACGTACAAGGGACAGATGTGTCCAAAACGTCTGAGAACTGGGACCGGAAAAGTGAGTGGGGGAGGCAAAGGTGGTCCGTCTCCTTCATTTTCCCTACTGATACCGCACAACCCTGAAACTCAAAGTTCCCTATCATGGAAGCTAGGAGTGCCGTGGGGGAGGCCTAAATTGTGCCCCTGGTGGCACCCCCACTCTAGAGCAACGTCTGCCCTTCTCGGACAGTCACGTGACCAAGAACGTCACCCTTGCAAGAGCTTCTGCAGTAGCCCTTGCCCCTCACTGAGGCTCCTCACATGGTCACTGCCCCTAGCAGGCCATTCCTGCTATCTCCCTTGATGGTGACTGGGCTGGCTTCCAGCAGTGGGGACATTAAAAGTGGCCTGGCAACCTCCAGTCTTGCTGACAAAACACATTGATATGCAAATTGTTCAGGTAAATTGTCAGCTGCCTGCAGCGTCCCTTCCCACCCCGGTCACACTGCCCCTGCAGCAAAGTCACCAGATCACAGGTCCCACAGATCACTGCTCTCCCTTATGTTTTCCTGGCTAAAATAAAATAAAATAAAACAAAACCCTCAAACTCAAATCTGTCTTGGTACTTCAAAAACATTTAAAAAAGGAGAAAATCAAGAAGTCAGCTGTAAGGATATGATTCCAACTTTTCATTAACTCTTATTGAAAGGAGAGGCTTTATCAGTGCCAAGAGCCTAGCTGGGAAGCTGTATAGGGCCACAGTCAGGGCCACACTCTGGGCCACCAGAAACAAGAAGTTTCAAGGCACCTGGATTGTGGTGGGGAGGTTGTCACCCGGCAGTGCAAGAGGTTGCAAAATGTCCTCATTCCTGTGTTACAGGAAAATGAAGCAACCAGACACTGAGGGATTCTGGAGTACGAGGTTTATGAACATGCATGGGCGCAGAGGAGTCAGTCTCCAAATTCTGAGCCCTGAACAAAGGATTCTTGGGGTTTATATAGTCTACGGGGTCTTCCTGTCTATGTGGCAAAGCGGGATACAGAAGCGGAATGCGGAAGTTAGTTCTAGCTATAAGGCTCCCTATACCTACGTGGCAGAAGCAGAGGACAAAGGCTAAATGCGGAAATTAGTTCTAACTGCGGGGGTGCTAGTCCTAGCCCTTGTGAATATCTTGCCGTTGGCTTTCCCAAATGGCCCTATTGCTCTTTCTGGGGTGTTTGGGGTTTGGGTAAACAAAGGTTCTTCAAAGCTTCCCATATCACCTGGGCAAAGGAGTCCCTTGGACTGGGGCCTAGAGTCATTCCACTGCCTTTTCACCCCCTGTGCCTGGGCTGCCCCAGAAGGGACCAGCTTCACCTGCCAACTGTCCCGAGGGCTCACTGAAAGGTGCGGACTTGACCTCCTTCCTGGCCAAACCTCACTGGAATGGACCTCCTGCTTCCTCCTCCTCCTCCCTTGTTGAAGTGCATGATGCTCTTTGAGGGGTGAGAGGTCATAGGTTGGGTTGGCAAAAGCAACCCTCCTTTCCCTCCCACTGCTGTGCAGGTGCTGGGCCCACCGTCCCCCCCCCCCCGCCCGTGCCAGCCTGTGTTTCTCTAATTCTACACACTGATTTTAGTCCTGGTCTCAGGCCCTGAGATAATGTGACAACTTCCATAATCTCCTCGAGCCGACAGATTCACCTCTGCAGGTACAGAAACCGCTGGTTTTCTAAGCGCCAGTGTTTTCCCTGCATGAGCAACCTGGAAAATGTCAGAAATACACTCACCTGTGTTGGTTTCCTGTGATTGCTACAACAAATTCCTTCAAACTCAGATGGCTTCAAACCACAGAAACAGAAGTACCCCCTCGTGGTTCTGGAGGCCGGAAGTCCGAATCAGGGGTGGGCAGAGCCATGCTCCCCGTGAAGGCCCCAGGGAGGACCTCTCCTCGCCTCTCCCAGGCTCCTGGTAGTTGCCAGCATCCCTTGGCTCGTGGCAGCTTCTGTCTGCGTTCGTCACCACGTGGCCATCTTCCCTCTGCGTGTGTGTTTGTGCCCACCTTTTCCTCTTTGTCTAAGAATTAGTGCTCACTCTAATCCAGTATGAACTTGTCTTAACTTAATTACATGTGCAAAGAACCTATTTCCAAAAGAAGTCACAATCACAAGGGACTTCAACATATCTCTTTGGGAACACACTCAACCTGCAACGCCGCCCCCGCCAACCCCGTTGGAAACACTGGGAGCCCGGGACTGCGTGCTTCCTAAACTCTGTGCCCCCCCAGGCCCTCTTCCTCACCCTCACTCTCTAGTGCTCTCCCACTTGCTGGCCACCCGGCGGTTACTAGTCCCTCCTCTACCTGACCCCTGACGGCTAGAAGCCAGTTTTATCTTCTTTTTGTATCCTCGCCTGGGCCATCTCAATAGCCTTTGGCTTTAAATACCAGCTAGAGGTTGTTGAACCAGTTTGGGTATTCAGCTGTGACTGTGCCCACGTGCTCCTCTAGGCCAGGTGCCTACAGCCCACTAGTTCAAATCCAGCTACTCCCTTTCTATAAATGCAGTTATATTGGGAATGACTGGTCGACATATTGTTTATGGCGGTTTCTACTCTCCGAGGTCACAGTTCAGTAGTTGTGACAGAGGCTGTATGCCCACAGAACCTGAAATATTTGCTCTCTGGCCCTTTACAGAGAAAGCTTGCTGACCCTGCTAGGCCGCTCACACAGGTGGTGAATATTCCCATCAGGGTGTGGAGTGGGTATTGCAAAGCTAGCACGAGCCAAAGGCAGCTCTTTTCGTTTTAATTGCATAAAACATAATATTGGTTTCATGGGAACAACATAATGACTAGATATTGTATATATAGTGAAATGATCACCCCAATAAGTTCATTTAACATCCATCACCACACAGAGCTACAATTTTTCGTGTGATGAGAACTTCTGAGATTTACTCTCTTAGCAACTTTCAAATGCACACGACAGTATTATTAGCTGTGGTCACCATGCTGCACATTACATCCCCATGACTTATTATTTTATTACTCGAACTTTGTACCCTCTGACCTCATTTCTCTCGCCATCCACCCCCTACCTCTATCCCCCAGCAATCTGTTCTCTGTATCTGTGAGTTTTATTTTAAGATTCCACATATCAGTGAGGTCATACTGTGCTTGTCTTTTCTCGGTCTGACTTATTTCACTTAGCATAATGCCCTCAAGAGCCATCCATGTTGTTACAAACAGTAATATTTCCTTTTTATGGCGGAATAACACTTCATTGTATATGCACACACCACGTCTTCCCTATCCATTCGTCTATCGATGGACACTTCGATTGTTTTCATGTCGTGGAAGTTGTAAATAACACTGCAATGTGCATGGGAGTGCATATACCTTTCTGAGTTAGTGTTTTCATTTTCTTTGGTTAAACACCCAGAAGTGGAATTGCTGGA